TAAAGTAGTTATTTATGAACCAGGTATTTTTTTTATTATCAATTGTTATTTGTAATATTAAAGTAATAGACAGAGGCTTGATATTTATTATCTTCTTTATTCAATTTTTTCTCTAGAAATTTTTGAGGTTATGACTTTCCTTTTTGTTTTTTTAGTTTTTTCTTTTTTCTTAGAATTTTAGCGTTTTTACTTTTGTTTTTTTTTGAAAAGCTAGAAGTACTGAAATGTTGATCATCTGCTGGACTGAAGATAACTTTTTTAAATTTATGTAGATCGGTCATTTTAAGAGGCTGATGGGATTAATGGATTTTAGTTTTTAATTTTTATTAATTTAAGTTAATCAGCAGAGTAATTATTAAAATTAAAAATATTAGATTACTTAAATAAAAAAATTGGTTAGATCTAGTATATCTAAGACCTTGCCTATTATTAAAATAGATTACCTTGTAGTCTAAGGTAAGGTTTACATATAAAACTCTTTAAAGATCCTACTATAAAAGGAAATTTTATGTTACATTGTTATGATTTTTTTTCTTTTTAGTCAATTAACCAATAGAATTTAAGCAAATCCTAAGGTAAGGTTTCATATGAAAGTGAAATTTTTACTGGTAACATATCTTATTAGTAGTAGGCGGGATCCTGTGTATCTACTTGAAATTAGATAAAAAATGTTGCTGTATTACTGTTTTAGATATTAGAAGAGTTCTGTAAATTTTCTTATGACTATGAGTTTCTGTTCCAAAACATGTCAACTCTGAAATATGACATGTTTGCATTTTGTATTTGTACAATTATAAGTCACAATTATATTCGTTAATAGATAAGATCTAAGATCTTTTTAGGCTATTTAAATAGATTTGATTATACCATTTTGCTGATGGGTGGGAGAATCTTATGAGGATCATAATTTATAAGGGGGTTTAACCTTTTCTTGTTTTTTTTGTTTTTGATATTTTTATAATGGTAATACAGTCTATAGTAGTATTAGTTTGTAGTTTGTTAAGTTAAGACTACAGGATCTGCAAAAGGTTAAGATAAAGTTTGTTTCTAAATAAAATTACATCTATATAGCTTTAAACTATTTGATTATACATTTGTAGGGTTTTAATTAGGATGATGAGTAGTTTATTTTGTTACTTTAGTCTAGGTTGTTCTCTTTGTATTTTTATATAGCCTGATTTTTTTTTTAATAAATGCATAACAGTTAATCTAAAAAAAACAATTTGGTTAAATTTTCTAAAGGATTTAAGAATAAAGTAGAATACTAAGATTGAATTAAGTTATTATCTTAAATAAATACTTTAGTAATATTAGCATTAGAATGAATTTTTCTATATATAATTAAAGAGTTAAATGATTTTCTTATAATGGAAATGTATTTTATACAGAAAGTTTAATTTAATATTACTTAGAATACAATATAATACTGATACTTATAAAAAATATAAAGTATCAATAAGTTTTATAAGTGTTAATTAATACCAGTATACATATTAATCAATACTAGTTAATTCTTTAACATGATAATTAACATCCATATACTAAATACATAATGTTAATAATTATTATGTCTTATAATTTAACAACTAAGCTGTCAAGTTTTTTTTTTAATTAAAAATAATTATCATAGCTTATATTTCTAGAAATAAAGTGAAGAAAATAAAGATTTAAACTTTAAAGATATAGCATTTGCAGTTGTTCAATCATTAAGATGATCAGCTATAAGTTTATAACTGATTAAACTTTAAAATGGCATTTTGAAAGTATATATATACTTCTGAAATATTTCTTTTTTTTAACAAAATACTTGGCATTTCTTTTTTTTTAAAATAATTATATAATGAAACTTTATTAACATTTTATTTTTCCTTTAAAAAAAAATTTTTTTTTTTTAACAAAATGTTTATATACATTTTATCAAATTTTTTTAATAAAACTTTATTTTTAACATTTTTTAATAGGGTTTTGTTTTTTATCGTACCCGCGACATGTCGCATGGTCAGCGCCGCAGAATATTATTGATGCAAATTTTGTGTCCTGATTTTGTGGCGTGGAAAATTTGCGAAATCTAACGCAAATTTATCCATCTTTTTTATTCAATAACAGGTGATCGAAGAAAAAAAATTTTTTTTTTTTTTTCGATTTCGTACTGATCAGTTTCATTCTGTCTTGACCTCAAAAACAAAAACGTAAATTTTCATTTTTGTTTTTTTTTTGTTTTGGTTTTTCTTTTGATTTAGGAACGTCACTTACGTTCCTTCCTTCTTTTCTAGGACGGACTTCTTGGAATGTAGACTTCAGGTTGGACTTCAAAATTGTGAGTAGGAAGAGTTTCCTTTGCTTTTTTTTTCCTTTTGATTTAGGAACGAATACTCATGTTCCTTTCTTTTTTTTTAGGGATGAACCTTGAATATTTTATCGACTTGGTTTGGACTTCAAAATCGAAAAAAAAAGGTAAAGTTTTCGGTTTTGTTAAGAACTTTGATTTAGGAACGCTACTCACGTTTCTTTTTTCTTCTTTTCTAGAAACGGACCTTGGATATTATATCGATCTCAGATATTATATCGGCCTGGGCTTCAAAACAAGAAAGAAGTAAGAAGTAAGTTCTTGTTTTGTTTTTTTTTCTTTTTAATTTAGGAACACTACTCACGTTCCTTTTTTTCTTCTTTTCTAGAGATAGACCTTGGATATTATATCGACCTTGGATATTATATCGGTCTGAACTTTAAACAAGAAAGAAGTAAGTTCTTGTTTGTTTTTTCTTCATTTTAATTTAAGAACGCTATTCACGTTCTTTTTTTCTTCTTTTCTAGATACGGACTTTGGATATTATATCGGCCTGGACTTCAAACAAGAAAGAAGTAAGTTCTTGTTTGTTTTTTCTTCGTTTTAATTTAAGAACGCTACTCACGTTCTTTTTTTCTTCTTTTTTTAGAGCGTGTTTCTTTCTTTTATTATAGGGAGGGATCTTGGATGTTATATGTAGAGTCCATTTTTAAATCGTAAGTAGTTTTGGTATTCGTATCTTGATGTTTTCTTTTAACTTGGGACGCTGCTTACTTTTTTCTTTTTTTTCTAAAACTGGATTTCTTGAATGCAGATTTGTATCAATTTGGAATATTTTAAGATGTTTAAGCACTTCGTATTGGATTTATTGTTGTCCTGAACTTTGTTATTAGGTATAGAAGAGACAATATTATTTCATTCTTCAAAAGAAGGAGGTGCCATAAGATGTTGGTAAATGTCATCCTTGAACTTCAAATTGTAAGTAGAGTTTTCGTTAGCATTTTTGATCTAGGATGTTACCAACATTCTTTTGTTACCTTTTTATGATATCGGATTTTGATTGTGACTTGTAAAAATGTCTGCACTTTTGCTAGATTTCTAAATAGAATGCAGGACAATCTACATGTAAATTTTTCTTTGTATTACCGCAAATCCAATAAATTTTTGTATCACTGCCAATAAATTTTTGTGTTATAACTATTAATAATTTAATCGCGCAACACGAAGTAAATAATTTTTTTCTTTAAACATAAAATATTATGTCTCACGAAAGTGAATTACCTTCTCTTGACACTACAGATTCTTCACCACAAAATGAAAGCAATTCAAGCCAGTCAACCGAAACACTTTTGTATAAAGGAAGAGTATTTACTTCCTGGGATCAAGCTTTCTACATTATTGAGAGTTGGGCGAAGCAACAAGGCTTTAATATCATATATAATCGTGTTGAATGAAACCCTGATAGAACTTTACGTAAACGCACTATACAATGTGAACATCAAGGTGATTACAATACAAAATCTAATGGCAAACAAACAAAAACAAAGCGTATAGGTTGTACTTGGCATATTAATCTTTCAGAACTATTTTCTAATAATCCCTCTAAACATGTTTATATTACTACATTTAATAATACTCATTCACATAATCTTAATCCTGATATTATTCAATTTGGAGATAACAAGCAAATACCTTCTGAGATTATGAAAGAAATTGAGTTTCTTACTGTTCAGTGTAAAATGGGAGCTACTTCTTAAAGGCAATATCTTGAGGCAAAGTTTCCAGGACAATTAATTTACAATAATGACTTGTATCAAGCCATCCAATATTTTCGTCCTCAAACTAGAAATGATAGCAATGATGCTAGCATGCTGCTAAATTATATGCAAAATTGCTTGAATCTTCACAGAATAATCCACTTTGGAAAGTAGCTATTAAATTTGATGATAAAAATACTCTCACCCATTTATTCTTGATGGCACCATTACAAATAGAGCTTTGGTATCTGTATTCTGATATTGTAATACATGATGTAACTTGTAAAACTAATAGGTATGATATGGCTTTAAGTTTATTTGTGATTCTTGATGAAAATCGGAATATAAGACTTGTTGCTCAAGTTTTATTAATTGATTAAACTAAAGAATCACATGAATGGGCATTTAAACAAATTAATTTAGCAACAAATAATATTCATCTACAAGTAATGATGACAGATGCAGATCTGGCTGTTTATGCTGCAATCAGATCTACATTTCATACTACATATCCAATGCATTGTACGTTTCATATAAATCAAAATTTAATTAAAAAACTTCAAAAACTACTTGGAAAAAGATTTTATGAATTTTCCACACAATTTTATGCAACATGTAATACATTGCACAAACCAATTTTTGAATCAAAATGGCAAACTTTAATCAATCAATATCCCGAAGCAAAGCAGTATTTAACTAATACTCTTTATAATACTAAAGAAGCATGGGCTCACCCTTGGACATGTAGGAAATTTACAGCAGGGCTTCATGCATCATCTCCCTTCTAAAGTATAAATGCTTGGATAAAAAATTATATTTTTAATTCAAATATTTCTTTGTGTGAACTTGCTGAAGTAATTGATAAAAGGCAAATATCTGAAGATAAAAAACATCAGCTTATACTATTGAAAGCTGCAATCCCTTGTATATCTACTCAGATTTCCATCCCATCCTTTATGTTCACTTCTATTGATAAGAAACTTGAAGAATATTTGCCTCCTGCTATATTGGATCTTCAAAGAAATGAAATTAGGCAGTGTGTTTTTTATAGTGCTTTACAAGTCAATCAAGAAGTTATTAGTGAATTTGAAGAGGTATAGTATATTTATTATAGTAAGATGCATTTTTAATTACATTTAACTTAACATTGTATTTTTTAGTATCAATTGCCTACCAATCAACATTTAGAAGATATACCTGATGCTCGTCAAATTACTGCATCTTGTATGATTTCTGATGTTAATAAAAATCAAATTATGTCTATGTGGACTGTAGCTGTTGAAAACAAACTTGTTGAGAAACATTTTGTTATTTTATTAACAAATGGATCACATTATTGTTCTTGTTTATCTCTTATTAATAAGGGAATCATTTGCAGACATTATTTTCAAATAATGCTTTGTAGTCCTACAGCCAAATTTCACTTAAAACTTATTCCTTCAAGATGGTATTATAGAAATAAGGATGCCATTAAAGAACCATTTCTGGTTGCTAGTAAATTTGAATCTGATACTCCACCTATTATTCCACAACACAATGTTCCATTTTTAACTGTAATTCATCAAATATCGCAAAATTCTATCACTCTGCATGAACGTCTTACTGATATACAATTATATGGTAAAATTACTGGTTTAACACATAAAGCTACCATAAAAGCACTAAAAAAAAAAGATATGCGTATAATATCTATTTTAGAGGATTATTTAAAAGATGAAGAGCAAAATGAAAATGTAGGTGGTGATAGTGAATTGGATGATGATAATGAATTGGATGGTGAAAAATTGGATGATGAATTGGATGATGAATTTGATGACTACAAAGAAAATCATGAAAATCATTCTTTTATTCTCAACAATCCAAATAAACAAACGAAATCTAAAGGATGTCTTAAAGGTACAAAAAGAATTAAAGCAAGTCATGAAAAAAATTCATCATTGGTAATTAGTAAACAATACAATTGTAGTCAATGTGGTAGTATGGGTCATAATAAACGAAATTGTAGCAGGAAATAATCATTATATTGACTTTAATTAATGTTTAAAGAAACAATGATCTATAATAAACATTATAATTATAAAACCAAAATAAAGATAGTGAAATCAACAAAGAAATTCTTTTTAATTTTGGTAATTTTATCTACATACTTGTAACATACATTACAATAGGACCTTTGTTAAACTATTCTTTAGAAGTTAGTTTACGATTTCAATAATGAGATACGTCAATGTAAAGCGTAAATGAAAAGTGTATTTTTAATTTTTTACATGATTCCAGATTCTAGAATTCGAAATGCAGACATATACATCATAATTATTCACACATTCAATTTAGGAAGGAAATTAACACCTAAGGTCTATCCCTATAAAAGAAGAAGAAAAAGAACGTTAAAGCATTCCGCAATTGAAAAAAAAATACTGTCCCACTTACGATTTGAAACCAAGAATAATCTACAATGTCCAAGGTCCATTTCTATAAAGAAGAAAGAAAAAGAACATGAATATCATTTGTAAATCAAGGGAAAAAAAATCAAATATTCCTACTTACAATTTTGAAGTCCGAGCCATTGTCTACATTCTGAGAAGTCCACCCTAAAAAAAACTAAAAAAAAGAAGAAAAAAAGAATGTGAGTAGCGTTCTTAAATTAAAACGAAGAAAAAACAAACAAGAACTTACTTCTTTCTTGTTTGAAGTCCAGGCCGATATAATATCCAAGGTCGATATAATATCCAAAGTCCGTATCTAGAAAAGAAGAAAAAAAGAACGTGAATAGCGTTCTTAAATTAAATGAAGAAAAAACAAACAAGAACTTACTTCTTTCTTGTTTAAAGTCCAGACCGATATAATATCCAAGGTCGATATAATATCCAAGGTCCGTATCTAGAAAAGAAGAAAAAAAAGAACGTGAGTAGCGTTCCTAAATTAAAAAGAAAAAAAAAACAAAACAAGAACTTACTTCTTACTTCTTTCTTGTTTTGAAGCCCAAACCGATATAATATCTAAGATCGATATAATATCCAAGATCCGTCTCTAGAAAAGAAGAAAAAAGGAACGTGAGTAGCGTTCCTAAATCAAAGTTCTTAACAAAACTGAAAACTTTACCTTTTTTTTCGATTTTGAAGTCCAAACTAAGTCGATAAAATATTCAAGGTTCGTCCCTAAAAAAAAAGAAAGGAACATGAGTATTCGTTCCTAAATCAAAGGGAAAAAAAAGCAAAGGAAACTCTTTCTACTCACAATTTCGAAGTTTAACCCGAAGTCTACATTCCAAGAAGTCCATCCTAGAAAAGAAGGAAGGAACGTAAGTGACGTTCCTAAATCAAAAGAAAAACCAAAACAAAAAAAAAACAAAAACGAAAATTTACGTTTTTGTTTTTGAGGTCAAGACGGAACGAAACTGATCAGTACGAAATCAAAAAAAAAAAAATAAATTTTTTTTCTTCGATCACCTGTTATTGGATAAAAAAAGATGGATAAATTTGCGTTACATTTCGCAAATTTTCCGCGCCACAAAATCAGGACACAAAATTTGCACCAATAATATTCTGCGGCGCTGACCATACGACATGTCGCGGGTGCGATAAAAAACAAAACCCTTTTTAATAATTATACAATGAAATATTTACTGATATTTCTTTTTTTTTATATAATATGTCTTACTATTCTAGTTTCTGAAATATGTAAATATTCTTTTATTTTTAATTTTTAAAAAAGTTTTTTTTATTAATTATTATATAACAAAATGTGAAAAAAAATGAAATTATAATGAAATGTTACTTCACATTTTATTTTTCTTTTTTTTTATAGTTATAATAAAATATTACTTAATATTAGTAGATAAAAACTCAATTTGCAGTCTTTAAAACTGCAGATTAAAGACTGCAAATTGAGTTTTTATTTACTTATCCTAAATTATATTTTCACCTATATTTTCATTTACTTATATTTTCATCTACTTATTCTAGTCATATAATTAGAATGTGACTAATGAAGGTATAAATTGGTAGCAGTCTTTTTAAGTTTTATTGCTTTTATAATCTTTGTAATTTAACTGTGATTTATTTTTGCATGAAGGCTTTCATGATCTTTATAAGTTATTACCTATACTAGTTGCATTATAATTATCTATAGTGTTATGATGATATTCTGGTTGATTGTAAGGTAGTTTTCTGCAGTGATTACATAAAACTAATAATTATTTGGTTTTATAATTGATATAATCTTTTATTTAATAACTATTTATTATTACTTTTATTTAATGATAATTTTTTAATATACAGTATATTAGTATATAAAATACTTTAATGTATAAATAGTAATTTTTAATACACACTTATATTTAATAAAATTATTCAAATTATTTACATTATTATAGATTATTACTATACAAATTAATATATTTGTTATACTTTTATTTACAAAAATAAATTTTTTCTTCTAAAAATTTTATTTCAAAGTTTTTAAACTAAAAAATGATGTAAAATAAATATACCAAATCTCTAAATATTTAATATTGATGAAAAACAAGAAATTTGATAATAAATACAAATTATATAGTTATATAGATACTTTTTTTTTCAAATAAATTTTTTTAGTATTACTGTTTCTCTCTATTCAAAATTTATATAATTTTTTTATAACAATAATTACTAATTTAAATTTAGTTAAAGTATTATAAAAATTAGTATAGGACAAATTTATCATATAAAAAATTAATTCAAAACTTGACTTGACTTGACTTGTGAGAAACACTAAATCTGTTTAATAATCAAATAAATTATTCAAAAGAACTAAATGATTTGAAATTAACAATAATTATTAAGAATTAAAAAAACTATAATAATACAAATATTAATATTAATATTTACTTTTATTTAATTAACTGTTAATTTTTTCAAACTAATTCTTGCATTTCGTTATAATATATTAATTTTTTATTTAATCTTCATTAATAATTATTTCAAGTCAAGAATTATTAACTTCTATAATTATAAAAAATGAAATATTAGATGGATTCTAATAATGTTATTTAAAAAAATAGGTATTAATTCTAGAATTATATTTACCATTTCAGATCATTTTTAATTTGTATAATTAAGGAAATACATTTCAATACAAACTATTTACAGATAGTGTAGAACCTCACTTATTTATAAGATAGGTCACCTTTAGGCCTAAGATAAAAATCATATATAAAATTTTTTGCAAATTCTACTATAAAAGGAAATTTTATGTTATATTGTTATGATTTTTTTTCCTTTTTAATTAATTAACCAATAGAATTTAAAAAAAAGTAAGGTAAAAATAGGCTAATTTTTTATAGTAATATTTATAATTTTTGCGTTAAGAATTTTATTATCAAGTTATTAAATCTATATGCTTACTATATGCACTAGCGTAATAGAGATCAGGTATTCACCCATTTTACTGACATCTGCATGAAAAATTTCATTATTATCATTTGAAGAGCCAGTAGAAGTTAAAATAATTATATTAGGAAGCAGAATCATAAAATCCTGATGATGTTCAAAATTATTTGACTACTTTTTAAAATGAAATAACTTATATATAAAAATAAAACTTTAATATTTATATTGTATCTTTATTCATTAATTTAAATAAAAATTTAATAATAAATTCTATTTTTATTTGCAACAACAACTGTTTTAATTCTATGAAATATACTTTTTATAAAAAATTTTATCTGTTATTTCTATAAAAATTCTGTAAAAATTCTGTAAAAATAAGCCTTTTATAAATTTATTTATGAAAAATGTAAATGATTTGATAAGACCAAACCAATCAAAAAGTTTGTTTAACATAATATGTAAAGTTAAAAAAATGAGGGAAGGATAGCTTAAACAAAGATTTTTGATTGGCTGAAATATAATAATATGATAACTTTTGAACAGTTATATGATTTTTTATAATTTTATCCAATTAAATTTATCAATAGGTGTTGTTCAAGAATTATTTTGAAGATAAAAAAGAGGGAAGGGTTATGTTAAACAAACTATTTGCTTAGTTCAGCCTAAATTCTGTAATATAAGGTTATTAATTCCAGAAATATGAGCCTTTTATAGGAAAAAACAGAATATAAAAAATGGATTAACTTTTTTTACAGAGACTATTAATTATTTTTATTTCATGTTTATTAGTTTGTCACCAGTGCACCATAAAAATCATTGATATTCATGACTCCTTGTGAAATAACTATTACATATATTATGTAAAAGTGGAGAGATTAAAACTTATAACAAATGGATATTATATAATAAATATCACTGCCTTTATAATAAAAGAGAAGAATTTACTTAGTAAATATTTTTCCAAAACATATTGGTTTAAACCAATATTATATACAAATCTCCATCTCAATTAACTAGATTATTTTATTACTAAATAATTTTAATAATAGAATTAATAATCACATGATATATTCCAATATTTTAATTTTGAGATTTCTGATTGATAATTACTTAATAACTAAAATCGTAATAAAGCATGAGACGCTTCAAATTTGTAATACTTTAGGTCGCAGTTGGATTGTCTTTATTGATTGCCACCGCTAAACTATATAGTAACTTTCGGTAGCACATATTTCGTGTGATTAGTCAACTGATTCGTCATTTTTAGGACAAATAAAGTGAGAAAGCCTCACAAATTCTTCTTAAACCTTAAAAAAAAAACGCTTCTTTTTTGAAATAAAAATTTTTTTTTCTTTATCCAGTTTTATATATAAAAAAAAATATGACAACTAAAGAAGTTTTAGAATTTGAAAGAAAGTTACATGAGCTCCTGGAGAGGAAACCTCCTGGGATTAGTGCGTCGAAAATTAAAGATCTAACGAGAATAGCGATGACTAGCCCAAAGGTGAGAAATATTATCAGTTGGTGGGAGAGTTTTTTATAACTTTTTCAAAAAAAGCTCAAGGGGAAAAAAGTTATTATAGTTAACAACAAAGTAAAGTAAAAGAAAACCACAGATGAGAGTATAATTATATAGTAAAAAAAAAACATTTGTTCGGATTGTAAAAACATTCACGAATAGTTTTCAAAGATCAAAACTCCTGTACTCTATGGTGCAAGAGTTTTAGTGAGTCGTTTATTGACTCTTTATTTGAAATAAAAAATATATTATTATTCTCACTAAGATCGTAAATACATTTAACTTCAGTATAAATTTAACTCTCAAGTGTAATAATATTGTGTTACCTAAGAAGATAAATTAAAATAACATAAATACATTAATTAACATCTAACATCATAAAAACCTCTAAATAAATCCTAAAATTTTGTCCTTTCTGTCTTCCTTATTCTCTGCACCCGATACAACAAAATATCGCTGAAACATTTTCAGCAATATAAAAATATTGTATACAGCGTACAGAAATTCATTCAGAGATGCTCGGTCGATTACAAATTGGGTGCATTATATGTTCTAGATTCAATATCACAGGCGGCAGCAAGACAAAAAACTGCAGTAGCAGAAAAAGATGATATTAATTCTTCTGGTTGGTCGGGCGCTGAATATCTAGAGAGATTCGAAAAAGTATTGGAAGAAATGTTTTCAAACATAATGCAATGTCCAGAATATGATAAGGTATGAATCACGTGAAGATGTTATTTTAATTTTCTTTCTTTTTTCATTAAATAGCACGAAAAGAAACAAAATGCAGATCTTGAATAGTTCGCGTAGTTCTTTAATGTCTTTTATTAATTGGGAGTTCTGAAATCTCAATTTACGTGAATTATTTGAAGTTTTGATTCCTTTCGTTGTCAGTTTCTTCTTGAGAATAAAAAAAAACATTATATTTCATTAATCAATGTTGATAATTATAAATGTTATCGCGTTGGCCATGATCATGATATTAACTCGTATAATATAATAAAATACAGGATAAAGTGAAACGTGTTCTAGATATATGGATTAGCAAAGATGGTGGTATTTATAGTAGAGAAGTGTTACAAAAAATAAAAGAGGCCCATTTTCAACAAAGAACAATGACGAATGATGCGAATGGAGGCGATCATCACACGCCATGTATGTGTATTATAAATTATAATATTGATCCATCAAAAGAAATGAAAAATCTTTAATTTTAATTTTTTTTTTTTAGACAACCCTTTAGATCAAACAACTTTAAATCCGGCGACACTTGATTCTTCAGCGTTATTGGCTACTTTAAATAACCTTACGCAAGGAACTTTAAATATTCCATCATTTTTATCTTCTCAGGCGATAAATTCTGCCCCTATGCAACCAAATACAACAATTCCTTATAATAATAATGTTAATTTGCCACCCACAAGTACATTAAATCATCAACCTACAATGAACAATGGTTATATGCAGCCATATAATCCAAATGTTAATTTGAAAGGAAATAGTTCAACATCGCATGATCCTCTTGAATTCGATTATGGAGATATGGATGAAGCGGATGATCAAAATAGTGATAAAAATAATGCAGAGAAATCGTTGATTAATAATGCTCTATCTGTTAACGCGTAAGTAAATTATTGAAATATTTAAATGATGTTATATGGTTTTTGATTGCTCGTTGGTTAATTAACATTTGAGTTTTTTTTCGAGACTTCTTTTTTATTTAATTTCCCTTGACATCTTTTTACCCTTCACTTGTATATAATTTGCAACTTTTTTATGTTAATACAAGAAAGTTTCTTTCCAAAAAGAAAAAAGAAAAAAAGAAAAAAAAATCAAAACATTAAAATGCCTGCATCAATAATATATACACGAACTCTCTCCAGTAAATTTTTCTTTTTTTTTAAAAAAAAAAATTAATCGTTAATAAACATTTATCAATTCTTATACAGAGTTAATTTGAGTATTCTACTTTATAATTCATAAATACGATTAAATTCTTAAAAAAAAAAAGGTCCTTCAAAACCAGCTCTCTTTTAAGTTGCACGTGATCCTGATTTTTTTCCTGGTTCGAGCGATGAACAATAAAAACTATATAGCATCATTTACCCTTTATTAAATATGATAATAAGAATTTATATTAAATACCAACATCTTTTTTATTCTTTATTATTTATTGTTTTTACGGGTTTATTTTAGAGCTCAAGCGGCAACAAGCGCGGCTTCAACCGCACAATTTAATCAGGATCAATTCAATTTGATGGCAAATCAATTATTTGCACCATCGCAAAATATACCACCAATTTCTGTAGCACAACCACAAATCCCGCCCGGTCAACCACAACAAATTCAGCAGCCTTCAGTGGTACCAAATACGAGCATGCCTTCAGTACCATCTTTTCAATATCAACCGCCACCACAAAATTGGGCTGCTCCCGGTCAACCACAGCAAATCCCTCCCGGTAGTATGCCACCACCTCCAGAACATTATCAGCCTCAACCTCCACCATTTCCAATTCCTCCATGGACAAATCAAAATATTCCTCCACCTCAACAATGGAATCCTAACGGTCCACCACCGCCGCAATCGAATGGATCACAATATCAAATTCCTATGAATCAGGCTTCCGGTCAACAACAACCTCCTTTCCAAAGTAATCCACCACCTCCAGGTTTTCCGGCCCAACCTCCAGGACACCAAGTACCACCGCCAGGGCAGCCATTACCTCCTCCGGGACATCACGTGCCACCTCCTGGTCACCCAGCACAACCTCCCCCAGGTCTCCAAAATCAACCACCAATAGGTCACCCGATGCCGCAACAAGGTCAACCAGTTATACCAGGATCACAATCTGGACAGCCTTTACCACCTCCGGGGCATCAATTACCTCCACCTGGGCACCATATTACTCAACCACAGGGACAAACTGGTCCAAATCAACAACAAATTCTTCCAAATCAAACTGTACAAACACAACCTCAACAATCACAACAACATGGTGTGGATGTCTGCGTTGTATATGAAGACCAAAACGTTGGAAGAGATGTAATTAAAGGTACAATAGACAAGAAATAATAATTTGTTTGTTGTGACACTTTTATTAAAGTCCAATAATTTATTTTTTTGAACGAAATAACTTTTTTTATAGTATTGAGTCGAACGCTTTATGTTGGAAGTGTTATGGAACATATGACTAAACAGTATATCGAAGATATATTTGCTAAACATGGACCAGTATCAACTGTTACGGTATGAATTGTCTAAACTGGAAAATATTTTTTTTTATTTAAATAAATTACATTATGAACATTATAAATGAATGCTTCATACTTTTTTTTTTAATAAATAGCTCAACTACGATAAAAATCATGGATTCGTGAAGATGGATACACGGGCAGCTGCTGCAAGAGCACTTCGAGGTGTTCGGATGAAAGTGAGATCCTCCTTAAAGGTTTATCAAAATTATCATAAACCTAATCTCAATTGTTATCTAATAAATTGATTTTATTCATATTTTATTAACGTTAATTTTTCTTTTTTTTTAGGTACGATGGGGTGTAGGATTCGGACCAAAAGATTGTTTTGATTTTCCGTCAGGAGAATCTTCAATTCCACTTAGTAGACTAACAGAAACGGATAGGAAGTGGTTGATCACAAGCAAATGTGGTGGTACAGGAGGTAGACCTGTGGTAGGTGGAGTTGTCGTTGAAGAACCTGATATAGTTATTGGGGAAGGATTTTCGAGCGGATCAGCCAATAAGAAAATAGGACCATTATTTGAAAGTCCAGGACATCGCAATAGAAGAGATCGGGATCGGGATGGTTATGATTTAGATGATAGTTCACGTCGTTCGTCAGAATCAAGAAAATTTTCCGATGCATCATGGGAAGGTTCAGCTTCGCCTGTGAGACGCCCTTATTCACCTTCTCGAAATTGGTCGGAAAAAGGGCAGAATTTGGCGGATCAGAAATATTCTCCTGAAAATCCGTTACAATCTGCAGATCAAAATTCACCACAGAACACAGATTCAACCAATGATAATCATAGTAGTCAAAGAAATGAAATATCATCTCCATCAAATCCTTCATCTGGTAAAAAACGGGAAAGAGAACAATTTAGTGCAGATAGAGATGAAGAACATTATCGTGAAACTGTAAAAAAATCAAGATGGGATTGATCATGTAGTTGTTTACATTTATTAAAAGACTTTTTTTTTTAAAAAAAAAAAAAAAATTTAAACTAATAAAATGTAATAAGTAAAAACAACTGTACAAAAAAAGGAAAAAATTTCATATAATAGAGAAAGGGAATCAATCCATTTTATGTAAATGACTAATAATATACCATGAAAGTAAAATCATATTCGAAAATTATCAAAATTTACACGGATTAAAAAAAAAATATAAAGAAAACATAATTTTTTTGTAGGTCAAGCAATAATTGATGAATGTTAAAAAAACGAGAAAAAAAAACGCGAAATTGCTTGCTAACTTTTGTTTTTTTTTTT